TGACAAGAACAAAAGCCTGTACCTGCCCTGTAAAGATGGGTTTTTAGGACTGGTCATGTTGGTGGCCACTGATCTAATGCACCTGGAGAATCATGAGTTTGATGTCAGGTAGGGATACAAGACTGTGTCTCAAAACGAGTTAAAGAAGAAATCTAATCTGTAGTTGGTTGAATTTGCTTTTGTGGTACCTGTGAATTAGTCATAGTTCTTAACTGGTACCTTTTCCTTGGCAAAGCTTTGATGTAAATGTTCTCATTTTTTAAACTTCCTCTTTTGTGTCTACTTCCTCTTTTGTCTGTTTCCTCTTTTGACCCTTTGTTGTGTGAGCTCTTCTTGGAATCAGCAGAGAGTGAACTAGATGAACAGAATTACACTGATAACAGGAGCTGTGGTTGGACCTTTGCTCACTTGTTCTGTACCATTGAATCTCATATTGGCTCCAGGAAGCAAATGTTTTGTAGATGAGCAAACAAGGTTGGTTTTGAAATTAATTTATGTTCTTAGTAGCCTGTGGCCATCTTGGTCCATGACATTTCAGAAGCCCTAGCTATGGATTAAAAGATTCTCCTCTTTATTTGAGACCCCTTCAGGGCAAGGAGTACTCCCAGAATACGGGTGGTTTATAGTTAGGTAAGGCAAGAAGTTCTTAAAATAATACGCTGAGATACCCTCTCCTGTCCCCATCCTCTTTCCCCCACCCTTCACCTCCCCTACTCCCTTTCCTTTCTCCTCAGCAGAGACGTTTGAGTAACACTGCCTGGCCTCAATGCTTCATACAAGAATCAGTGTTTAGTTGCTCCCTCTGTCTCCCCCTCCCCCTCCTTTCCTCTCCTGTTTGTCTTTTCTCTCCATCTTTCTCTAGTTAATATGAGGTTTTATTTCTTAGATCCCAATTAAAAAAAAGATGCTTAATAAACAGTTTTATGTGCTTTAATTCTACCTTCTTCTGAAACATACTCGAGGCTTCTTAGGTCATAACAACATTAATAAAATATGAAAAAGTAGGTAAGATTTTAGAAAAGAAGATTTAAAAAGTGTCTAGTTATAGGAACTTAACAGATTTTGTGACTAAGGCATTTTCTGTGGGCTTCTTGGCAGTTGGGGGCAAGATAAAAAGTTGGACATAGGAGTTTCTAAATGAGAGCTTTTCCATTGAGAGGCAGAAAGGGAGTGGATCCCAAGGAGAGAGGAGAGAGGAGGTGGGGAGGAACTAGGAGGAGTAGAGGGAGGAGAAACTCTAATCAATATATATGATGAGAAATTAATTTATTTTCAATGCTGACATAGTTGTAAAAGCAGAAAGGAGGAAGTGGTTCTTAGCAAGTATTGAAAGGTGACTACAGCCCCTTAACTGTGGGGCCTCCTGGGGGTGTTACATGAGAGCAGTATCCTTGGCAACAGCTTCAAACAAACACTGATGTGGTTTCAATATTACCCTTCCTTGTCGTCAAAGACACAGCACTAAAGTCAAGCTCAGAGAAACCCGCCTTCAAGATGCCCTGAATTCGAGCCTTCCTTAGCCGACCCGCTGTTTCTCACCCTTCCTTTGCTTCTCATTTCTACTCACCCTTCTTTTAGAGTTCTCTGCACAGCACCGTGAGTGTGATGTAAGAATTCTGTCCTTAAACTTTAGCATCCCTCACTTCTCATTTGTTGATTGAGAAACTTAGAACTTTTGTCTGATGGAGGCCCCTTGAGATCTGCCCTGTCTTGGTCTGGGGTTCAGTTTCCCTAACCTGACCTGACTAAGAGCCCGTCAGCTTCGATATTTACTGTCATAGGTGGCCCACACCTGTCTCATGCGTGCCCATGTCACTGCCTCTGGGAAAGGAACACTCTCCCTCTATAGCTTTCTGACACCAAAATGACGGACCACTGTGTAGTTCGGAGGAGTATCCATGTGGTAGGCACATTTAGGGCTAGGAATCCATGATGTGTCCTCTGTCACCCTGAGCTAGCAACGACTGGGAAAGTCTGAATGGCACACTGGTGGGTTCCTTTCTACTCTGCCTTGCTCATGTTTCTGGCTCTCACATACAGTGGTGAGTGGGTCTGAGCCAATGGGAGGGCTATTTTTACCACACAGATTTTGTCTGTGTAAGCTCACACATCAGTTGTCTCTCTCCTTTTTGACAGCAAACATTCAAGCTTGAGGACACGCTGCCACTCATTTCGTGGAAACACCAAGTATTTGATATTTATCAGCATTTAGGGAAAATCAGTTTCTAGTTGTTTCCATAGACCTCAAGCATAAATATTTACACAAGACAAACTTATACATTATGGTTTTTACTCTGTCATCTGTGGAACTATGATTATTTCCTATGGAAGATAGAAAGCTTTATTGAGCCTTTGTTTTGCAAGAGGCATTATAGCAAGTAGCAGGCTCAGAGCAGTAGACTGCATCAACCATAGGAGACTTAAGCATCTATTGCAAACCTCTATTCTCGTGGAGAAGTGAAAAGTTTCAATTAAATTAATTAGGTGAGTAAAATGCTACAAGAAGCTATGTCTTATCATAGTAAAATTTGAATATAGATATGAATATAAGCTAAGAGTGTAGGAAAAGGCTAAGAGTAGGTACATTTTTAAACCAAGCATTAAGAGAGACAGGTGGCCTCCTTTGGAAGAATCTACTGAAACAGAAACTATAGTTAGATTTATTTATGCCTTGAAACTTGTGCTGTGTTTTCTAGAGGATTCATGAAGATTGGAAATTTATGAAAAAAATCATAATGCTATTAAAATGTGATTGATAAATTAATGTTTAAAATGTATAAAACATGGTGCATGGCTCATTGAAATGGCTAATATATTTCATATTAATTTTATGTGTTATAACCACATGTTACACAATAAGCACAGGCATATAGTATGCACATTAAATTATTTTTAAAACTCCAAAATGTTCTTTGATATTGGATGATTTTTGTTTGTTTGTTTTTTGTTTTTTTGAGACAGGGTTTCTCTGTGTAGCCTTGGAGCCTGTCCTTGAACTCGCTCTGTAGATCTGCCTGTCTCTGCTTCTTGAGTTGCTGGGATGGTATTTTTATTATTCAGCTCCATTGCTTGTCATCAGCAGTGATGCAAACATTCATTGTATTTTAAAGAAAATTAATTCTATGGCTAGTTCCACATTTACATTTAAAAAGATTTTTTTTGCTTTTATTGAAAACTAAGAATTAAAAAAATACTTTATGAAGCTCTTTTCTGAACCTTAAACACTTCAAACAGGTGTGGTTGACACACACTTGTGATTCCAGTACCCAGGAAGTTAAGACAGAAGGGTACTAAGTTCAAGACCAAGCCAGATTGAATAACAAACTCACCAAACACAAAACAAAACCTTCAAAAATTGAATAAATTTTGACTGTTTATATAACATTATTTTATCTCAGGATTCTTAGGTTTCTTTGTTTTGTTTTTAAAGGAATTTTGATACATATATTTACAAACCTAAAATTTGGGTCTTATTTTACTCATTCATAATGAAATGGTTTTTAGTAACATTGTAGACATACTCCAATTAGACATTTCCATTGGTACAATAAATCAGGTATGATGAGAAAGACTCTGCCAGACATGGTGATGCACACCTTTAATTCCAGCACTCTAGAGGCAGAAGGTGGTGGATCTCTGTGAGTTTGAGTCTAGCATGTTCTACACAATAAAATCTAGGTCTGTCAGGGATAAACAGAGAGACCATGTCTTAAGAATAAGAGGAGGAGGAGAAAAGGAGAAAAAAAATGCTTCTTTGCCTTTCTTATCCACTTTTTCTGTAACAAGAATTCATTGCCCTCTTGTTCATCCAGCCATTTACATACCCACCCGCCCATTCTCCCACCCATCCATTCTTCCATTTCCTGTAGGAAATCCTCAGCCAGGAGCCTTTAAGTTACCTGCCCAGTTGGGCATGGCCTCTTATACTATAAATGCTGATGTAAAGGGCACTTTACCTCTCTCTTCTGGCTGTTGGATTCTGTTCCTGCTCCCTGTTCATGCAAAGGACTGTGATCTGTGAGCCTATCCCTAAATAAATAACTCATTATTATACTCAATTGTGAGCTAGTGTGGGATTTCTTTTTAGCGTCCATCTTCACCCATCCATCCTTTCTCCCATCCACCCATTCTCCCATCCATCCATCCATCCATCCATCAATCCATCCATCCATCCATCCTCCCATCCATCCATCCATCCATCCATCCATCCATCCATCCATCCATCCATCCATTCTTCCATCAATCCATCCATCCACCCATCCATCCATCCATCCATCCATCCACCCATTCTTCCATCCATCCTTTCTCCCATCCACCCATTCTCCCATCCATCCATCCATCCATCCATCCATCCATCCATCCTCCCATCCACCCATTCTCCCATCCATCCATCCATCCATCCATCCATCCATCCATCCATCCACCCATTCTCCCATTCATTCATTCACCAAATTTGTGGTAAGTCTCAACTATATCCTACAGCATATGCTGGAATACGAAGGGTGACTAGGTCCTCCAAGAATGAAGTCTGGGGATTTAAAACTTGGTGAGACGGAAGCAGGAAATGTTGCTTTCTGTGTGCAAGGGTTAATACTAGTGTTTAGAGTCTGTAAGAATCTGTAAGGCAAGAAGGCAATGCTCCCTTTCAGGGAGGTGGGCGGAGAACATCCAGAAGCTTTTCTGAGAGGCTGGAATATTTCTTCTTGCATCTGTTTGTATGAGAGGAGCACACTGAACTCCTTAGCCTTTGATGAAGCACGTGTGATCAAAGGTATCTGTGCATGGCACATAATGTATATATTTGCTCTGATTTTATGACATATTTGGTGTCTACCATTGTGTGTTTAAAATTCAGCACAGGCCCCTTAACATAACTGAAAGTATGAGAAGCAGTCTGCCCTTGAAGCCCACATCAGTTCCTTTTTTCTTACTAGTGGGGACTTCAGTTATTCAGAAAGTCTTCATTATGGTCTTGCTCAATTTCCTTTTTCCTTTTTCAGATACTAGATTAGTAAAGGACTGGAGGATTTAAAAGCTGTTAAGCCAGTTGGAGAGACATATATCCATGAAGGACTAAAGCTTGTAAGTTATTTTATATTTGTAACTATGAGAGAGAGTGGCTTTTTATTATATAATTAAAATTCCTTTACATATTTATGTCTACTTTTCCTATGGTTTAGTCAGCCTAGACATGAGACTGGTAAAAAAAAAAACACTTATTGTCAGTGTTGATAAGTAAAGTTTGTATGTATTTTGTCTTCTTAGCAAATTTTCTGCCTTCCTCTGGGGTTATATTCAGATTAATCAGTCATAAGAATAAAAATCTGTATTCCAGAAACCCAGTAATATATATTTTTATCTATATCTATATACCTGTAACATACATATTTACATATTTCAAATAAAAATGCTAACATAAATATCTGACTTACTCAACTAGTACATATAAATGTATATGTATTATTTTGTCATCCTTAATATCTTTATTTTGTCAGACATACAAATTCAGCTCTATAAAGTTAGAATTATGCTGGGTGGTGGTGGTGCATGCCTTTAACCTCCCTACTTAGAAGGCAGAGGAGGCAGAGGAGGCAGATACTTTAAGGCCAGCCTGGTCTACAGAGGGAGTTCCAGGACAGCCAGAGAAACCCTGTCTTAAAAGAAAAAAAAAAGGAAAAAAAAGTTAAAATTAAATGTTTAGCTGTATAATTACTTTTTATTTTCAGGCAAATGAACAAATTCAAAATGCAGGAGGCTTGAAAACCTCCAGTATCATAATTGCCTTGACAGACGGTAAGCTGGATGGCTTGGTACCATCGTATGCAGAGAATGAGGTGAGTGCTGAGCAGGAACAGCTGTCGACACCCACTGTTGCACTTAGCTGTCTGTGCACATATAGCGTAGATGGATTTTTTTGTTCTGCCCAGTCCCACAGCTGTTCAGTCCCCAAGAAATACATAGAGGCTTATATTAATTATAAGCTATTTGGCCTATTAGCTCAGGCTTATTATTAACTAGCTCTTATAGCTTAAATTAACCCACAATTCTTATCTATGTCTAGCCATGTGGCTTGGTATCTTTTCTCAGTAAGTCATTCTCATCTTGCTTTCTCTGCTTATGGATAATGATTGGGTCTCTGCCTTTTCTCTTCCCAGAATTCTCCTAGTCTGGTGACCCCGCCTACACTTCTTTTCTGGCTACTGGTCAATCAGCTTTTTATTAAACTCATATAAGCGACAAATCTTTGCAGTGTACAAGAGCATTATCCCACAACATATAACTTATTTCAATCTCTCTCTCCTCCATCCCTTGTACCTTCCATCCCTCCCTCTGTCTCTCCTCCCCCCCTTTCCGTTCCTATTTTTGTTTCTTCATAGGCAAAGAAGTCCAGGTCACTTGGCGCTAGTGTTTATTGTGTTGGGGTCCTTGATTTTGAGCAAGCTCAGGTGAGTTACCCCTGATCTGTAAACTGTAACTCACTAACTTGCTTTAAAGATAGCTAAAAGAACTTTTCTGTTGTGATTTGCAAATATTTTGCATAAAATGATATATGTTTGAGCTCTCCTAAAATGTCAGAATGTTTATAGGTTTTGTTATGGAGAATAAAACTAAAAAAAAATTTCTTGAATATTTATTTGGTATGGGTCTTAAAAGGAGATAAATGTTTTGATTAACGCTATGTAAATGTCCCTTTATCTTAATTGGCAAGACTATGACGATTGCTAGAGATAGAATTCTTATTTGCAGGAATTTGAAGAGCCCACTTAGACATCTTTAAGGTTATTTTTCATATAAATATATCTTTTTATTTAAATTTACATCATTTTACGCTTAAATTTTTTGTGTAATAACTAAAATTCCAGAATCTCTTGCCATTAACTGTAATTAGACCACCTCCATGTTGCTTTGACTACATAGCCATTAACCTTAGTTCACTTCATGGTCTTTGGAGGGAAATTGGTGTCTTCACCATCAGTTCCTCGCCTTGAACTTTAATTGTATTTTATAGTTACATATCACCGTCTTGTGTGTATGTTTGTGTGTGTATGTATGTATCTATGTATTATGTATACATATACATATATACACACATTGACCATTAAAACAATCATAAAATATCACAGAGTGAATGATTCATAGCCAGTAATTTTTCAGGAGAATTTGACCCAAGCCGTTTGTTTTCCATGTGAATTTGTAAAGACTTGTGTGTCTTGACTACCTCTTAAGCTTTCATTTTCTTCCTAAAGCTGGAAAGAATTGCTGACTCCAAGGACCAAGTTTTCCCTGTTAAAGGTGGATTTCAAGCTCTTAAAGGCATCATCAATTCTGTGAGTACACCTCTGAGGTCTGGAAGGCCGATAACACTACATGCAGTGTTTAGAGAGGAGAGTGAACTTCGTTTGTTGCTGCCAACATGATGTAATTCTAGAGATCCAGACTTCTCTGTCCACGAAATTTAACACTGTCTTTCACGTGTGGTTCCCGATCCTGGGAAGGCGATTTCTAGTTTAAGATTTTCTCAAACCCTGTCCAACATCTTTAGCCTGTCAGCGTGGGAGTTAACCATCTTAGACCTTGAGAGTTTCTTCAGGCTTTATAGGAGAAATGTCAAATAAAAAATTTGATTGGAATGCGTGATGACTGCCTCCTCCAAGCCTGCTTGTGGATTAGTCAGGCAGCTTGATCCAGCGGCTGAAGATTTGACGGCAGTTGTTCTTCCCATTTCAATGATTAATAGTGTCCCTGGAGCACATAATATTTCTGTTTGGGATTCAGCAGCGTCTTCCCTGGTGACTGTTAGACTCTGGGCTCTCCTGAGCGGGGTCTGGCGGGGAAGGCGAGGAATGAAATTTGGAGTTGAATTCCTGGCTCTTGCTGGAGAGGTTTATGTTTCCTTTTACTGCCTTTTGCTAGAAGCACTAGGAACAGTTGCTATTAAGTATTTATGATATTTGGTAAACATCTCCCTAAACTGCAAGTGAATATATATTCTCTAAGCAAAATCTTTTTCTTTAATCTTTCGGTATTTAGGAAAGGGAAAAGTATCTCACTGCCAGTAGTTGGTTCTGGCATTTTAAATTTCTTTTTAAAGATCATGCTCCTCAGAATGACAGGGTGAGATTTATTGGCTTTGTTTTTCCAAAAACTAATGGAGTTTTTAGAGAAGACACATAATTTGGTTCAGTCACATCTAGTGGACATCCCAAATGTAAATGCAGAATAGAACAGAGATTAAATCATTGCAGGATTTTAGCAAGATTATTAGTTGTGATATTTAGGGAAAAATTGCCATGTGAAAAATAGTTAAATTTTATGGATAAGTTCAGGGTAAATAACAAAATGTTATAAAATTTAAGATCCTGGGGAAGGATGAGTAATTGACTTCCAATAAACAGGTCAGTGGTGGTGTGTATTTTTGATAGAGTTTTATTGTGCTTAGGGATGCACATGTAAAGACCTCCCTGGGTTATTATGTTCTTTGATTTTCTTGTGGTTGTTCTATGTATATGATGCTTAAATCAGAATCTTCTAGATGACAGCCTAGCATTCCCAAACTATGTTTGTGGATTAGAAATACAGTTATTTTCCCCCTCAGGCCAACTTTAGGATATGATTTAAGTATACACTGCAACCTGTCTGCATTGAGGCTCTTGGTGGATGTTGTCGTGAATAAATAACATCGAAAGAATCAACAGGGAATTAGAAGGAGTCGCGTATTTTAGTCACACATTTTGCAAAGCCACTTACATTTCATCTGAAGGGTGCAAACGGGAGCTGCATCACAGCACAGCTCAGCTCCAGTTGTTTTGTTGCCCCCAGCAAGAGGCCTTGCTCGATCTACAGGTAGAAGCTGGAGACCTACAGCAGTCCGGACTGAGCCATGCTGAAGTGTTTATCTCTGTGATAACAGGTTGTGGCTTGTGCATTTCTTTGTAGAGATAAGACACAATTCAACCACATCATTCCTTTTTTAGGAGAGGAATTTCCTTTGTTTTCTGCTCAACTTGAATAACATTTTATACTTACATACCATAGCCTTGTTGGAAACATTTATTTTTTATTTAAAATAAATATAGCTCATCTTTCAGAAGGAGAACAAACAGGAGATATTATTCTATTCATTATGCTTTGCCAAACCAATGACTGGAATTGTTCTCTGGAGTGGACTTCAGTAAAACAAAGCAGATGGAATCAATAAGAACATTGAAGTCTTTCAGATAAGTGAGAGGAGGGGAGTTGTCATCAACTCAGTGGATTCAAAAGGAACTAAGATCACAGTCAGGGTCAAATGCTAATGTTTACAGGATGTAAATCGACATGAAGATGGGCTTGGTTTCGATATGTGAAGTTATTGACGGTTTTTCATGGTGGGATTTGAACGGGGCTCTGACCGTTGGGGTAGGTGTAATTATCAGCAAAGCACTGTTGACTAGAATGGCCTGAGCTCAGTGATTTAAAGAATAAATGTTGGTAGATAGCATTGACTAAGGTTATGTATATTTACACATACTTGGATGGGTTTCATTTCCTAAAAAAGTGGAAGGTTAACTTAGAGCCTGACATTTGTATGATGGTCATAAAGATTTAGGAAGAAGATCAACACTTAGCAATGGGTAGGAAGATTTATAGAATGGAGTCATGATCTCTTACGATAGTAAAGGTGTGGAGACAGTCTGAGGTTGGCAGTAGGAGGACCAGGTATGACTTCCAATCTGCTGCTATGGAACCATGTGACTTGGACTGTATCCTGTAGTGTAATTCCTCTGAGTTTTAAATTTCACCAATGAAATGGAAGTGATGAATTGTATTTCATTCGATGGTTCAGAGTGTTCCTGGGCAGAGATGTTGGACTTGAAAACATTTGGTGGGAAGCTAGGAGCAGAGATCAATAACCATAGAAGATGCAGCAATTGATCCATCTGTGAGGGAAGCCAGAGGGAAAGATGTTCAGCAATGTGTTTGCCAAAGTCTTAGGGATAACAGGACATAACTGTATGGGGATTAGATTCACATAATTGGATGGGGATTGAATTCAGTAATTGGGTCATAACAAGGATTTCTAGATGATATGACAGTCAATGTCAAGTGTTTGACCAGACACTGCTTACAAATCTTCAGGTCATAGGATACGAAATCAGTCCCAAACTGGGTAATGAAATATGAATTTTCTATGTTAAAAATTATGTAAAATTTTAGTACCCTACATTTACAAAAGGCCACAGTTTCTTTTGAAAGAGTCCTCATTTCCTCTGCTACTTAGAGCCAGGTATCAAAAGAAAAGATTATACTCAAAGAATCAGTTCCTGAGGCAAGATATTTTTTACTTGTTCAGAATAAAACTCAGTCAAGGACCTCACCAGGGAAGCACCTAACAAACAGGTCCTTTTCCCTGCCCAGAATGAAGTCAAGAATATGCTGAGTGTGAACCTTCATCTGTATGATTCTTACTTCATGCTGCACAAGCTCCTAGGCATAGGGTGGTACTGGCGCTATTGCCTTGTTTTCTGTGATAGACTGGTAACACAATGGTGAATTGGATAGTGTAAAAGTTACCAAAACCTGAGAGATCACTGGATCACAGGTGACAGAAAAGGGAGCTAAATATTTGGCATTTGGTTCCTATTATGGATAACGAGATGAAGGCAGAGTGAGAACTTCTATACAGAGCAGGCAGAAGTTTAGTGGGTGACAAGGAAGAGCTCAGCAGAGAGATGGGAATCCAATTGACTTCAAGAGAAGAAAACTCAGAGGGAATGTTCCATAGAAGATCGGAGGACAAGTTAAAGGTTAAGGTTGGAAAGTTTTTAAATTTGAGTCATTACACTTCCTTTTGTTATTTCTCCCAACACATTGACTACAAGCACAAATATAAATTTCTATTTTTTTCTAAACTTCACATGATTTTAAAAAAAAAACTGGAGTCATTAAAATTATTTTTGGTTTCCCGAGTAAATGATTACAAGATTTATATTTGAAAAATGAGATTGTATTTGCACTACTGAAATCAGACAGACTTGTTAGTACCCCGTGGCTCAGGGTCAGTGATTCTTTGCGCAATTGCTGTGGAAGAAAAGGGAAAAAGAAAACAAAGCCACAGACTGGTGAGCAGTCTCGAAAGAGCACAACTACAGATGCTCTGTGGAAACTCCCTGGCTTTTATTCTTCAAAATAGGACCATGGATTCTTCACTACTTGGAATTATTTGCACAAGTTTTGTTTTTAATAAGAGTGTCTTGGAAAAGATTAAGCAAAAATCCATCATGAAACTGGCTTCATAGTATAACTCTGACCCAAAACTATAGAGCACTATGTTCAGCGTGGCTGTGGTTAGTGAGAAGTTTGTTTGAAAAAGGGTCTACCTTAAACTACAGGTGCATAAATAAGAAGGGAATGATCCCAGGTACTGTGTGTTCAAGTGACATTACAATAGATGCTTTCTAGGTGGACCATACAACATAGGTTTAAAAGGTCATTTCACATTGCATCTGGAGCTAAATTGTTCTTAGGTATGGTCATTGTTGTTTTGTTTGAAAAACATCTGAGTGGATTTAAAACTGTTATAATAGAATTTTACCACGTTATTCATGCTGTACTCCCTCAGGACTCCTCAAGTCACACATGAGAAGAATTCATTTACTACTAGTTTAAGAGTGAAAAAAAAATGTTAATCTGTAAAACTGCATAATCCAGAGAAGGAAACTTCCTGAGGGGTAGCTGGGTCCAGATTGGTGAATATTGTCTATGGTTTTTATTTATTTATTTATTTTTCTTCTCTCTTGCATAGAGGAGCGGTAGAGTGTAGGACTTACAGAAGGTTGCAATGATTGTCTTTGGCCAGCAAGCCTATTGGAAAGTAACCACCACTGACAGCAGTCAGATTGTAGGATCAGAGCTCAGTGTCTTGTCAAATGAGACATGATGTCACGTCAGCATCATTAAGACCTCGTGGGGTAATATTCACCTTTCTCCTTATGACCTTAGGCACAAGTCAATAGGGAACTATCATGATCCCTAGTAACCTCACTAGGGCTATTTGGAATAAGAGATGCTTTCTACAATAGAGAGGAGGCTTTATACATAGAAAAAGAAGACAACAAGATGTTTGGGGCAGGGGGAAATCAGCAAATAGTACAGCCTACTGTAACATTTGACCACGATTAAACTGTTCACACATTTATTCTAAATTCTTTTTACCTACAGATGAACATGAAGAAATTACTTTAAACTGATTATTTTATTAACCAAACTTATGCTTTGACATTTAAGACACACATTCAACATTTTCTTTAAGAAATAATTTGATTGGAATTACAGCTGAAAGAAATGA